AGGACAATGGCATTGATAACATTAATAACAATATTATGATAATGGTGTTAATAATAGTAATGATAATAATATAACAACAGGAATAATATAAATGACAACAACAATAACAATAATAGTAGTAGTAATAATAATGATATATTAATGATTAGAGTATTTAAAAATAATATTCGTAAGAGCAGTAGTACTAATGATAATAAAAGTACTGATGATAATAATGATAATGATGATGATGGTGATAATAATAATAATGATGATGATGGTAATAATAATATACTTATGATAATAATAATAATAATTATTATTATTATTATTATCATTATTATCATTATTATCATTATTTTTATTATTATTATTGTTGTTGCTGTTGTTATCATTACCATTAACATTAGCTTTATTATATTATCAAAGATAATAATAATAATAATGATAATAATAATAATAATAATAATAATAGATATTACTATTATCATTATTATTATTATTATTATTATTATTATAGTAATGATAATAGTAATATCAATAATAATAATATTAATAATAATAATAGTAAGAAGGATGATGATAACATCAATAATAAACAATATAATAAAAAGCTACTCCTGCCCCCTCCCCCCCTCCCCTATCACCCCCCTCCCACTCCAACCTCTCCCCCTACCCTCTCCCCCCTATCCTCTCACTCCCCCCTGCCCTCCCCCTCCCCCTGCCCTCCCCCCTCCCCTCTCCTCCCCTTCCCCTACCCCTCCCCCTCCCCCTCCCCCTCCCACCCCTACCCTTTCCCCCTCCCCCTCCCCCCTTGCCCTCTCCCACCACCAGATCACGATCGACCGGAAATCCCTAATCGTCGACACCATCTTCATCGCCGTCGGGTCTTTCTTCGTCCTGATCAACAACATCAACATGGGCGCTCAACTCGACCTCAGTATCATCAGGAGCGTGTTGAGGCGTCCCCTTGGCCCGGCGTGTGGCTTCGTGTCCCAGTTCCTCTGCATGCCGACGGTGAGTTCGGAGGAGGGAGGGAGAGAGAGGGAGGGGGAGGAGTGGGACGGAGGGAGGAGGGAGGGTTAGGGAGGGAGAGAGGGAGGAAGGGGGAGGAAGGGTTAGGGAAGGAGGGGAGGGAGGGAGAGAGAGAGAGAGAGAGAGAGAGAGAGAGAGAGAGAGAGAGAGAGAGAGAGAGAGAGAGAGAGAGAGAGAGAGAGAGAGAGAGAGAGAGAGCTGTATGTGTAGGATGGGCCGTAAAAATGAATACTTATTTACCTAAAAAGCATATATAGACTTTGAATGCATGTTTACCTTTTTAGAAAAGTATATATATACATACATACATATATATATATATATATATATATATATATATATATATATATATATATATATATATATATATATATGTATGTATGTATATATATATATATATATATATATATATATATATATATATATATATATATATATATATATATATATATATATGTATGTATG